AAATGGGTTTAATATATCATGCAGCCTTGGAAAACAGACTAAAAATGTGTTTTATACATTCTCGTCTGTGAAACGCGCCACTTCCGGTATTTTGCCGGTTAGTCGACGCGAGCAAAATGAAGTCGAGAATTTTTAAAAATCGAATAGTCGAATAAAATCGACGAATCGCGACAGCCCTTCTGTGTAGTGCCATTATATAATAGATGTCTGCTAATGTGTATTGTTTGTTTTCAGAGAGAAAATGTCAAAAAAGAGAAACTACAGCGCCTGTCCAAAAATTATAGAGGCATGTCACCTTTACCATGAGGGCACAGTGAAAGTTTTCTGCTTTGCATACTGTATGTTTTTCATTTTTAATGTTTAAATTTGTTTAAATTGTCAGTGGTCCTTCCTAAACTCTCCTGTTATTATAATTTATTGTAAATGTATGAGCCAAAAATCTGTTCATAATGACTTTGTTTGGTAGGTAGAACATGTTTGTAATCTTATGAAGAATATATACTACCATTAAAAAGTTATATATATTTTTTATTTCTATATACGTTTTGGAAATTAATATTTTTATTTAGCAAGGATGTATTAAATTGATCAAAAATTACTGTATTGACATTTGTAATGTTGCAAAAATTATTAGAATGATTAGATATTGATATAAGCATATTAGAATGATTTCTGAATTATCATGTGACACTGACTGAAGACTGGGGTAATGGCTGCTGAAAATTAATCTTTGCCATAACGGCAATAAATTACATTTTAAAATAAATAATAATAATAAATTAATTTTAAAGTGTAATTTCACTCTATTATTGTTTTCAGTGCTTTTTGTGATCAAATAAATGTATCCTTGATGGGCACTACAGACTTTTTATTTTTTAATACCCATTAATAATGGAATGGGTTAGAAATGGTGGTGACAAGGTGCTTTCTTTCTTTGAGCGCTAGCAAACATTAGTAAAAGGATTTTTTTTAAATACTTCCCGCTCACTGAATAAATATATTGATGTTTTACTACTTTAAAATCAATATTTTTTTTATATTTTGTGAAAAAATTATTTGGAACACAGGCGGGCTTAAATGGTGCCAAAGTACCAATTAAGCCCATGCCAGACTTTTGACTTTATTCATGTATATCAACTAATTTTAATAAATTTTTAAATGAGAGAGAAATTGCATTTTAACAAATTATTTTTTCTTATAAATCATGTCAATATCTATGAAAAACTCCTAAACTTAGATTTTGGTAGGCTTAATGGGTACACTTTCCCTAAAGGTCTTTATTTTTATGTCTGCCAGATAGCTGTAAATGCATACAAATATGAGTGTATTTATACTGTACAAGAAATTATGAGTTCACATACAAGGACCTGTTACTGACAGTTAACACAAAAGTTTTATTCAGCTGTGCACTATGAGAGATATTAAAGGTTTGGTTCCTCATGCAAGTAGTGACTCACTATATCAATCACTAATCAATAGCTTATAAATGAATGAAGGGCAAATTTGAGATTTGGCACAGAATGCTGCAAATATGTTGCCCCTATAGAGCATTGTATTGTTAGCATTAGGATTATTTGGTTTACAGACAAACTGAGACTACATTTTGAGGCACACCCAAAACTGCTCAGTTTTTCCCATGAATCATGAGAAATGAATGTGTAATGCACAAATTTTAAATGATGCTGTCTAAATCAATCTTGGAAAGTGTTTCTTAAAAGATTTCTCAAAAGAGTGAGACGGTGCTGATTCATGTCTGCAGCACAAGGAAATCAGTGCCTGCAGCACTGTAAGGACATTCACTTAGCACCATGTTACACCGTCTCCTCATGTTAAGTTTGTTTTAAGACAAGCACATCTTCATGCCAGGAAAGGGTGGTGCTTTGTTTTTTTCCTCTTTTGGGGAAATGGGCCTCTTTGGTGGCAGTGGGTGTCTCTAATCTAGGCCAGGCATCCTACTTGGGCTGGTCTAATGAAAACCATCAATATCTTGATGTCATGCTTGAAACTTTCTGTCCCTGAATGGTGTTTATTGTTATGTTAGATTACCCTAGTGAAAAAAGTATACTAAGTATACTTGCAGCCAGACTAATTGTCAGTATACTTCAAGTGTGTTAATGATTAGTTAACTTGAAGTGTGCTATTTTGGAACAACACTTTTTTGTACTAAGTGTATTTTAGTTGTAATTAAATTATACTGAAGTATAACTTTAAATGTATTTAGTGTACTTTTATATGCTAAATTGGAACAACTTCAAGTATACTTAGTACACTTTAAGTATATGCCTATTTACATGCTTGATTAGTGATATTAAAGTGTACTTTTTTTGTATTACGAGTACATTACAAATTAATTATGAGTGTCTTTGAAACACACAAGCAATATACTATAAATATATTATTTTTGAGTAAAAAATATGCAAATTTTTCCCTAATGCTGAATCCACTTTTTAAGGTCATTACAATAAATACATAACTTCAGTGACAGACAGAGACACATTATTAAAGGGCTAGTTAGCACCCAACAATGAAAATTTGATGTTTATCTGCTTACCCCCAGGGCATTCAAGATGTAGGTGACTTTGTTTCTTCAGTAGAACACAAACAAAGATTTTTAACTCAAACCGTTGCAGTCTGTCAGTCATATAATGTAAGTGAATGGGATTCACGGCTTTGAGAGTCCAAAAAACATACACAAACAAAACCAAATTAAACCCTGCGGCTCGTGACTGTAAAGACACGAAACGATCAGTCTGTGCAAGAAACTGAACAGTATTTATATCATTTTTTACCTCTGATTTACTGCAATGTCCGAACTGTCCTGAGCGCATTCACAGATCAGGCTAAATTGTAATGTAGACATGCATTTTCTGTAAAGCTGCTTTGAGAAGCTGGTGTACTCTAAATAAGGGCATAAAGTGCAAAAACAGCAGCAGTGCACTAGACTTGGTTGACGTCACCTCTCCGTCTTCAAAGACAATCAAAACATCCAGTGGCTTCCCTCATGATATTTCCTCTTCCTCCTCAACGGCAATGATGGGGACTGCTGCCTTCTGCACCTGGTCAGGCTCCTTTTTCTAAATGCATGAAAAAAAGTGTTAGTATATGTCACAACAAATCATAAAATTAACCCTTGTGTGGCAAGACCTATTTAAATTTTCATAAATGAAAATAAAGGTGTGAAGGATCAGAGTAGTGTTTATTCAGTAGGGCGTGTGCCCATTTAAAACCCTGTAGTACTTTTTAAAAACTTGCAATTTTCACAACGTCTTCCAGAGCTGCTGGTCAACTAGATTTAATTGGGAAAAACTTTCAGGGGTGTATCAAATGAATGTTCTTGAGCTTGAATTTAATTTTTATTAATAAAACATCCAAATAAATATAATTTAATAAATATAAATAATAAACCAACAGTCCTTTATACAAACCCAAAGCAACTTTAAGATAAGTGCAAGTGGAAATATAACACACAAGACATTTTTTGTAATCCATATTAAGAAAGCCTACTATAACTAGAACTTTCAAGACATAACTAGAACTTTCAAGACCCAACTCGTATTCTTCTGAAGCATAATGACTGAATCAAAGGCAAACTGAAATTTAATGTTATTCATTCTGCCAGTCTGAATGAGACCTTCTGAATCAAAAATGGCGGCACACTAACATCTAACATCATTGATCCTTGGTGAAAGAACCAGTATTTGTCGGGGCTGTGTATGCATGAGTTGATAAATTTTCAGATTTAAAATATATTTTATATTATATATTTAATATATATAAAATATATAAATATTTATATATGTAAAATATACTTAAAAAACCTTTCAGAAAGTGATGGTTTACATCTCGCATAACACTAAAACCCATCAATTAAATCAATGTGAATTCTACTTACTTCACTTTAGGCTCGTAGTATTGCAGCCATCTTGTTGCCTTTGACATCCCAGCACTCCACGCTGCCTTTGCTCTGAAAACATTGATTTCAAAAACATATGCAAGTATGAGTTTCAAATTAAAAAACGCAAGGCGCAAATATCAGTCTGAAATGGTAAATAACGTTAGCAAAACAGCTATCATAAATGCTCCTCCAGCCGCTTTGTTTACCGGTGTTACGAGATTTTCGGTTTCTGAGATTTTCGGTTTCAGTGGGCGGAGCATACATGAATATTCATGAGTTTCCGGACATGCCGTGGAATCAAGTGGAACTGAGAATTCCAGTTCACGCTCCTTGTATCTCAACAGGTTTAATGGAATATTTTAAAAAAGGTAAATATGTTTACAGTGTTGCACAAACCTATGCCTAAACTACATTTGTTCATCATTTTGTAACAGTTTACAATGTTTTTATTAGTTTGCACGTTTTGTGCAGTCGTCGCTGACTGAATGACTGCAGACATTCAGCACACTTAACTTACTTTGATTTCAGTTCGTTGTGCTGTAGCTTGCAATGCTTTAAATCTATGTCTGTTGTTAGTTGTTATCATTTGAGTACAACAGCTGAAATAAACTTGTATTTGTGGACTAATCGTTTTTCATCTATCCTGGTGTGATTGCACTATGTTCTTAAACTGTTAGGCTTAGGCTATATTTACAAAATGAATAGGAATCTAAGACCACACACACAAGCATGCAAGTGTTTCTTTAATAAGTAACATTTTGGTTTAAACAAAATTGTATGGACAAAAGTTTAAAAAGTATTTTTAATTTTATTAACAAATGTTCATAAGTGTGCTTGTTTTGATATGATATATACAATTCTAGGGATTTGTATTAGTAAGGTTCTTTGTTCATGTTCACCAACTGCATCAGATTAAAAATATTAAAAAACATTAACATTGTGAAATAATTTTACAATTTAAAATAAAGTTATAAAGTATAACAATAATAATAATTTGCACGGTTTGATGTAATGTGAGCTAATTTAGATTAAATCACCATTGGTAGAGTGATTTATTGTAATGCTTTTTTTCCTCAGTTGGTCAGAACAAACGTGGCAGAGTTGTTTCTTGTTCAGATGACAATATCCGGTGAAAATGCTTATTTTGGTCATATATTCCAAGACCTAGGCTAGAATCTGTGAGTGCAAAGTACAGTATCCACACCGGTGTGTGACTGACTGCCGCACACATACTCCTCAAAACATTAGATTCATCCGCGCTGGAGCCGTGCCGCCGCACAACTCACACAAGGAAGATAATTCTGCACACGGCTGCAATTGCAGGTTTTCAAACAGAGATGGCGACAAAGAGGCAAAACTTACGGACTGCAGCTTTAATTAAAGTTAAATATTTATATTTAGGTAATGTAAGTACTGCTGTTCATCAGTGTGTTTTCAACTCTATGCACTATGTACTCAACCATGTAGTGTATGAATTATATAAGGTTATTCTGTTATTCATAAATGGAGCCTGATACAGTAGCCCCTCCCCTTTGCTACGTTAAAGCTTCGGCAGTTGAGTGCATGCAGTGTCCAACATTTCACACTTCATTTTTTTCAGTTATTTAAGTGCATTCTTTTTTGAATTTTCAATGTGAACACACTACTCGCACTATTTATACTACAGAACGTCATAGAATAGTGCATAAGGCTATGTTCACACTTGCCATCTTTTTTGAAGCTTCCAGCATCTGTTTTACCTAAAAGTCCTATGGAGTAAACCGTGTTTTCAAAAAAGTCCTGAGCGCTTTTGACACCGCCGACATCTTTTTCTGCAGCTCAGAGCATCTACTTTATTTTAGGCCCATAGTATTGCAGCCATCTTGTTGCCTTTGACATCCAAGCACTCCACGTTGCTTTTGCTCTGAAAACATTGATTTCAATAACATATGCATGTATGAGTTTCAAATTAAAAAACGCGAGGCGCAAATATCAGTCTGACTCTGAACTGGTAAATAACGTTAGCAAAACAGCCATCATAAATGCTCCTCGAGCTGATTTGTTTACCGGGGCTTCGGCTGCATTAGTAAACTTAATTAGCATCACGGATATGCTAGATGAAACTGACGAAGTGGATCATAAATAACGATTAACAAAAAGTTAAAAGTTATTGTAATATAGTGAATGGGTGGGTTTGTCTTAACGTTACGCGAGTGTCGGTTACATCTGTCAGCCGTCTTTCTGGTTTAAAAGACAAAAATCACCGGACTTGTTTGTCTTGTCGACTGAGAAAAGCACACAAAATTATTTTTTTATTTTTTATTTTCCCACTGACAAACTGTGGTGTAAAACACTGCATATTTAACACTTGCCGTTGATAACTTTGATGTAATGGCGTGGTAGTTCCTCTTTGCTAGCTAATACATTAATTGAAGTGACATGTGGCCAAGTATGGTGACCCATACTCGGAATTAGTGCTCTGCATTTATCCCATCCAAAGTGCACACACACAGCAGTGAACACACACACACCGTGAACACACACCCGGAGCAGTGGGCAGCCATTTTTTGCTGCGGCGCCCGGGGAGCAGTTGGGGGTTCGGTGCCTTGCTCAAGGGCACCTCAGTCGTGGTATTGAAGGTGGGAGAGAGCGCTGTACATTCACTCCCCCCACCTACAATCCCTGCCGGTACGTACCAACCTTAGGGTTACGAGTCCGACTCTCTAACCATTAGGCCACGACTTCCCCACGACTTTAACGTTGCTAAGATACAACATATATATAAAAATAATAAGATACAACAATAAATCATAAACGTTCAAAAGTGCTTTAAATGGGAATAAAGAAGCTTGAAATGCTTACCTGTTCTTTTTCATGACTCTTTGAGTGAGCTCAGCTCAGCTGTGATTGGACGGGCTGACGTCACGGGACTGACTAGAAAACGGGCGCGGTTTTTGAATCTTTTTAGGAAACACATTAAAAAATATATATATTGCCATAAGTAAAAGTTATTACATTAAAAAAGGCTTAATGTAGGCTTAATATGAAATACTTATGTACACTGAAAAAAAAACGAGAATTTTTTTTAAGATATGTGGTTGCAAACAATTTATTTTAGCTACATTTAAATAAAAAAAATGTTGAAAGTTAGTCAACTAAATTTGTTTATTTAAATGTAGCTAAAATAAATTGATTGCAACCACTTTCCTTAAAAAAATGTTGTAAATTCAATGAATCATTTTTTTCCAGTGAAATATAGTAAATATTAGTAAATATATAAATATAAATATATAAATAGTACATGTATTTACTATTGTTTCTGTATTTATTTGATTAGCTTTTAATTAGTTATAATAACCTATAGCCCTATACTCTATACAAACATTTTTCTCCAAAAACATTATTTAAAAGAAAAAAAAATGAAGTAAAAGAAAAAAGTTGTTTCAAGTCTGTTCAACATGATGCAGTCAACCTGATATAATGGTGTTAAATCAAAAGGAATTGTTTAAATAAAGTGAACAGCATTAAAAATCATTTTTTCAGTGAGCTGTGTTCTTTATCATTCCTGTAATGACACATAACAAAAAGAGAAACAATTCTGTTGTACAGATAAGTGATGGAACATTCTGTGAAATTATGACCCTGGTGGCTTTCAAGTGTGTGGATGGGGCATCTTCTGCATCCACCACAAATAGATTCTGTGTTTTAGCTGTTTAGTGTTTTTAACTAAATTTATCCTCAACATTTATATAGTGTCTCATAATGTATTTGCTGTCCATCCTCAATCACTCAAATGTAAATGTGTAATTATTAGGTCTAATGAAAAACTGTATGCCATTCCACTTCCAAATAAACTGATTATTATGGGGAACTACTTCTGCAGCTTTATACAGATATCAATGCCAATTGTTGTTTTTCAGCTTTATTTCTCCATAAAATTTATAATGATATGTTATAATAATGCAATATAATATAATAATATTAATGCAGAGTGAGTGAACTTCAGTTTTTGGCCGTGCAATATAGACAGTGTTTACTTGACTGTACACTTTATAATGCATTCGCTTTATTTATTTGTTTTATTACTTTCTGAAAACAATGTATGTCCAAGTAATGAAGTGAATTCCAAGCATGAAGAAGTAAACTTAAAATATACTCAAAAATGTACTATACTACCACTTATACTATACTACATATACTATACAAATACAATATACTATACATATACATATACAAATATACTACAACTTCAGGTTATTTAATAATATACTTTGAAAGTATACTTTCAATGCATTGTTACAATGATCATTTTCAGCACACAGTTAAAAAATATTCATAAAATATATTTAAGTAAAGTGCAAATAAATATACTTATAAAAAATAAACAGAACTTTCAATTCAAGTATATTTTTGTAAATATATATTTTTTAGAAAATATACTAAATTACAATTGTTTTAAAGTGTGTTAAAAGTTGTACTGTGAAAAAAGGGAAAAGCATGATGCTAATATACTTTTTTATATATTTAAAGATAGTACATTCTTTGTTAGTGTATTTGCAATGTACTATTAAAACTTTTTCACAAGGGTAGGCCTTCTGGATATCTTCAAACATTACCTCAATATTTCAGGCTTTGTTTTATGTTTTATGTTTTAAGTGTCACTCTCAGCTCTCAGGCTGAAATGTTGTAGACAACATATAGACAATTTGGTAGTAAATTGTTTAAATTGCCAGTGGTCATATCCTTCCTAAATTCTCCTGTTATTATAATTTGAGTAAATGTATGAGCCGAAAATCTGTTCATAATGACTTTACTGGTTAGATGTTTGGTAGAATATGTTTATGTGATCTTATGAAGAATATATACTATACCATTAAACACTTTTGGGTCAGTAATATTTACAGTAAAATATTTATTTATTTATAGAAATTAATAGTTTTATTTAGCAAGGATGCATTAAATTGATCAAAAATTACTGTATAGACATTTATAATGTTACAAAGGATTTGTAGTTCCAAATCAGCATATTAGAATGATTTCTGAAGGATCATATGACACTGAAGACTGGAGTAATGGCTGCTAAAAATTCATCTTTGCCATCACAGCAATAAATTACATTTATTTTTATTAAATTAAAAAAAAAAAAAAAAAAAATGCAATTTCACTCTATTGTTGTTTTCAGTGTATTGTTTGACCAAATAAATGCGTCTTTGATGGGCATTACAGACTTTTAAAAAAACATGAAAAATTAACTTTTTCCTTTTTATTTTTTTAATAGCCTCTAATAATGGAACATGTTTGAAACTTTCTTTATGGGTTTCTATTCCCAAATGGTGCTTATTGTTATTGCATATATACACTATGGTTATTTGTTCTTGACATGATTGCAAACATAGTAAATCACATATGGTTTTCCATGTTTGTTCAGACTTGTGCTGGAACAATTTTGGGGTATTTTTTATTTGTTATGCTGAATTCTTTATGAAGAAGACATGATCACCTTGAAACTTATGTTTCCTGCTGTTCCTACCCTGTCATAATGATGTGATGTGCAAGTATTGATCAGTCACTGATACATATTCCTATGCTCTTTTTTTCCATATAGCTGATCAAGCTGGAAACAGTGGTGAAGACATACAGTTGACCACCACCATCACACATGTGGATGGACCTACAGAGATCTACAAAATGACCGGCAAAGAAGCTCAAGAGTAACCATCACCTTTATTCAGGGTCCAACAAAAGTCTCAAAAGTTCATACAATACGCTTTTGTGTGTCCTTTGTGTTCCCTGTCATTTCAAACACAGCCTCACAAATATTAAGCCCCTTTTCACTTATTGGCTTTCCATTCCACTAAGGTTCAGTCTAAAACATCTGCTTGTGCTGAGTGGTAGAAAAATGGAGTTGCACACCATCTTGTGGGTGCTGAGAGAAATTATGATGTGTATCTCGCACTGTGGATAGGCAAAGGCACTGGTGTTTGCAAGGACCAATACAAATACTTAAAAAATTGGGAGGAAAGGGAATCAAGGTCATTTCTTTTAATCATGCAGCAATTGTTTCTTGTTTGTGTATTCTGTAGCTGAGATCATTGTTTTCCCCTTTGATTTTTGCAATTACAAAACAAGGAAGAAAAACTCTGTCAGCATACTGTATAGTTACGCATGTGTTTTTTTTTCTTTTTTTCTGTTGATCCTTCCTCATAGGACTTCCTTAAACACTCCCTACCAAAAGTAAACACACCCATGGAACCCATAACGTGAATGACCGAGTTCAAATCAAGGTCCCCCAGAGCAAGATGTGGACGTAAAGTGCCATATAGATAGATTCAGGTCAACACTATGTTCATTATGTTACAATGTAGAGATATATTTTTTATAATGTGCTTGTTTTCGTCTGTATGAAAGCATTAGTCGCTGTATTGTAGCACTGCATTGTAAAAAAAAATCTTTTGGAGATTTTTTTATTGTATCACATGGAAATTTAGGGTTTTTATGCTAATTTAAATAATAATAAAAAAACATTTTAGATTTGTTTGGATAAAGGGACATTGCTTAATAAAACACTGGTGAACAGAATTGAACGATGTCTCAGAACTACACTTGAGGATGATTGGAAGACTAAATACAATCACTGTCATTTTAAACCTCACTTTACTTTAGATATCAGTTTTAGCTTGTTTGTTTTTGTTGTAACTGAGGCACAAAATCAAAATGGTTCCTTTGTTATGAAAATAGGCGTAATTTACGGGTGGGACATGTCCCCATCACTTTTTTGAAACATCTCGTGGCACGGATGTACCTAATGCAGATGAAACTATATTCATTCCAGTTGAATCACAAAACAAAATGCGCACAAACGTGTCCCTGCTCTTGATATACGATCACTGATGAACATCTTTGATAGACTGTTTAGGAATACGACTGTTTATTGCGTATGTATGTATTTAATCACTAACGTGAAGAATCTTGGGCTTAATACATTTTTATTATAGTACATGTAAGAATGAAACTATGAATGAAGCTAAATGAGTTCTATGTCGATACATTAACCCACACCCATACACACTCACTCCTGTCCCACCCACTTTTTAAAACCAAGTTACACCACTGGTTATGAATGATTATTTATGTTATTGTTCAAAACAAACTATTGAACAACAAAATTACTAACAGAAAAAAAAAACTAAAATTGAAATAAAAATATGTATTTAGAAATAATTAAAAAACCAATCACAAATAAAATTACTAAAATTGAAACAAATTAACATGAAAATATCAAAATAAAAGCTAATACAAAATAGCTACAAAAAAAAAACTTTAAAAAAAGTATAGGAAAATGTTGGTTTAGAGATCACAATTAAATAGCATATACCTTAAAATGCACCATTTCATTGCTTAGTATGCTGCCATCATCTTCCTGCTGCCCATCTCTGCAACACAGCAGCCTTTCAGTTTATCTCAACCTCAACAATCTCCTGCTGTTTTCTTCAAACAGGTGCAGACTAGTGCTCCACTGATGTAATAAGACAGACAAACATATACACATCTACCATACAGTAATGGCTATTTGTTGAGCACAATTGGGTCAGCTATTCAAGATTGTACACTATAGGGCACGAGGTGATTTTTTTCAGCTTGAGAGGTGGCCATGACCTTTGAATTCTAGGGTGTTAACAATTTATTTTATAGTAGACCGACCTAATCCATGTTTATAGGTATTCACTTTTAGTGCAACCTCAAGCTTTACCTATTTTCTCACAAAATGCCATTCAATATGTATGCTTTCATAAAGTGTCAAATATTTATCAAATGCAGTGATAATTTTTTACTGTGCATGGTGTTGCTATCTACTAATAAGGCTTACTTAAAAATGAGGGTAGCCTACTTATCTTAAAATCCCAGACAATTTCTTTACTCCTTTATTTGTGTAACTGAGTTAACATCATGTTTGAAACAGAAAATATAATAACACTAAATGGGTAAAATATTGAATGAGGACCATCGGGATTACGACTGACATTAAATAATTTTGTCACTGTCTTGACAAAAATAAAAACCTTATAAAAGAAATATATTTGAGGACATCTACAATCCCAGGACAAGTGGACTGATGATGCCAGAATTTTGCTATATTTAAAAGTAATGGCAGAATCAATGGAACACATACATCTCATACTTTTGACTGTCAGTGTCGTAATGTAAAGAGACAACTATTATCACAACGACAAATTCCTGACAGTACTAAAATAACATGGTCAATAAAATAATAAGCATTCCTAGCTATTTTGTCAAGGCAAAGGGAATGATTGTTCCCAGAATCACAGAAAGAGGGCGCCCGAATTGAGGAGAATTCGGAGGAAAAGAGGCGGAAAACAATAAGCGGTGTCTCTTAGTTTTTTTTTTTTGTTTTTTTTTTTTGTTTTAATATCTGAAAACTGGAACATACAGAAAATATCCATACAACACGTAATATCAACAACAATATCAGTAACTATAAATAAATAATAATAAAAAATTAAATAATAATAAGAAGGCCGTTATATTGCATACAAATAATCACACAACGAGTCCAAAAGCAGATCAAATTCTAACAGTCCTTATAGCTTTATTATTAGAAGATGCAGAGATGTCTCTCTCCACAGTTCGAAGGCTTCGAAAGGTCGACGGTGACGCCATGTCGTGCGCCGACTGTGATTGGTCAGCGTAGGTGGAAGTGTTACAAACGGTGTCATTCACAAAGTAACAAGAATACATTACAATAGTGATAAAGAATGCAATTAATTTAAAATAGTATTTAGATGATTTTCCAGACAATTTTACACACGGACCTTTTGAAGTTCACGTAAAACCAATTCTGGGGCGTAGTTTCCGTTTCTTCTCTGATTCATCAGGAGATCACACTTCTGAGATTGTTTTAAAGGTAAGAGTGTTCTGTCGACGGCGAATTTTTTAAATTACGGTTTTAATTTATTTTTTATTTCACAAATAACACAAGATGTGGCAACTCTACTGCTTCTTTTTGTGGCCTAGGTACATTTTTATGTCGAAAAGAGAAAGTTGTCGCCTTGTAATCCTGTATAGTTTATATCAAGTTGTGAAGCGGATAACAAACTTTCACGATTCAACAGGTTAGTCAATATGAAATATTAACCTGTAAATCAGTAGGTGGCCTTAAATCTAACTCGTGAACTACAAAGTTAAAGTTAAAGCCTATCATCCACCCTTTGGTATGCGAGGGAAATTCCTGTACTTCTGAATCATTGTTATTAGTTGGCCAAAATGACTCTGGTGGGGTTGTTTTAAGATGAAAATACAATAAACATATACCAGAAATCCTTTTAAGTATTTCTCAGTTTCTGTGAGACTGCCTCAGATCAAACTACAAGTAGAGACAAGACTGAATGATTTAATTTCCTTCTGTAGTTATTGATACCTATGAGATGTGCTGCACATTAAATATGGGCTTGGGCTATGACACGTAGAGTCCAGACTTGCCTTGTATATAATGTTTTAAACCCCTAGTTTTGCCCCTCTGAAGGGGTTTGCATGCATGACTACACTGTTAATGATCTGCACTCATTAGTTTGCATTGAGGAGCCTTTCATTTCTCTTTCATCAAACTCTGTACAAGGGCCGTCCTCCCAAGTATTTGTTTTATGAGCAACAAAACAATCTGATGTTATCGGCGTGGTAGCCACATCCATGTTGTCTTTATGGGTAGGAGAGTGTCTTGAATCTAGTCTGATCTCCTTTGAAAGCTGACACATGGCCCTGAGAATGTCCGTGATCTCCCATACATACAAGTAATTCAGTTTAAATCATATTAGATTTCTGTTTAAATGAATATTTTACCCAAAAGCAGATTCATTTTTCCTCCCTGCCATGTTGCCTGTGTCCAAAATGCTCCAAAATGGACAAAAAGAGGGGAAACATATTATATATTCCAATATATATTATATACATACATATATTCCAATTCTTTGGAGCCATCGAATGTGTTTGTGATGAACAGATCAAAGTTTAATTCATTTTTCACTGTAGTTTTCCAGTCAAAAATAGCTCGTTTTGATGCAATGTGCCATTGACATCCAATTTGAAAGCACCAAGCGTCTTTGGTTCTCACCACACATTATTAATGTCAAAACTTATGTATGTAAAAATCTGAGTTTGGTAGTAACTGATTACATGTAATCTGGATTACATAATCAGATTCCAAAAATTAAGTACTTGTAATTAGATTAAATTACATTTTAAAATACTCTGAATCAGACTACAGTTACTTTTTTATTACATGATTACATATTATTCACACAATGGCAATAAATTATTCATAATTTATTGATTCTCCCTAACTCCTCTTTTCCATCTTTTAAATGTTCTTTTCAAAAATAGCCTACCGTTTACATACATTCAGAAAGTCTTCCAGTTTTGTGGACATTCACACAACGACCAGTCATTAGTCAGGTGGCTATAATTACACAGAAAACTGAGAGGCCACACAGTGTTTGACCACTGGATTTACAAAAATAATTTCAGTTTTCTCAGTATTTCAACATTTCATCAACTACTGATGAACACATTCATTTTTATTTATTTAATTGTGCATTACTATGTCTTTGGAAGACTTTTGTCTTTCAAACACATTAACATGCACAAATGCACATTATTCTTTATTTATTTATCCTACATGTAATGCAGGGATTTACAAACTTTTTTTTGTCAGCCAAACAACTTTCAACTAATATATTTACTTGATGTACCCCTGAGATTTTAAGGCAATAAGTAAATAATTAAGTAAACAGCAGTTAAACAAATAAAATATTTCAATTTTTTAGTAAGTGTTTTATTTTGATGGATGTTATTTTAAAATGATTTATTTTACTTAACATTTTTATGATTTAATTAATTATTAGTTTTTAATTAAACTCTCGAACCCCCTGCAGTTCCTTTATGAACCCCAGTTTGGGAAACGTTGTAATGTTTAATGCACTTTATGTTGTTAATAACAACAAATGGAATATATTTTCTTTTTCTTTGCATTTTTATATCAATATGGTACAAGATTATCCTATTTAAATCAATGTGATAAGCGAGTTAGGTCAAAAGTAATCTAAAAGTAATCAAAAGAATTTGGATTATATTACCTAAAACGTGTAATGTAATGGATTACATTACTAACTGCAATTTTTGTCATGTAATTTGGAATCAGTAACGGACTACAATTTGTAAGTAATCTACCTAGCTCTGGTAAAAATATACTAGATCATAATCAGCATTCTCATCATGGATTCTCTCAGGAATTCTCTTTTGGTAATTGCGCAGACCTGAAATCAAAAAACACTATTGTACAAATATATTGGAAATTCCTATATTAATCTGTGGGGAATCAGCCTTCTGAATTGGGCAGCAAATTCACATCATGAATTGATTAAACATTTCTATTTGATTCAAACTTGATAGACATGGTCACCATGAATGGTTGTTGTATAGAAAAGAGTGAAGTTGTTATTTCATGTCAACTTTAATAATAGAGCAACATGAGTAAATAATTTTCATTTTGAGTGAATTCTTGAGAATAAAAAAAATTACAGACACATAAACTCAATACTTCCCTTTGAGATAGTGGTGGCTTTTAGCGTTGCAGTAACCACAGAACTGTTCAAATTTGTCCTCTGTTATATGTGTCCTATGTATACATATTTATTGAATAATGGCAGCTGTTTGTGCGACATTTTGTACCATAAACCTTTTGTATCATTGCACATGAATCATCAGCATTGGGTTGGATTCTGGCAATACAATTAATTTACACTATATCCAAGACCCAACCAGTCAAAGTTTTTTTTTCTTCTTTTTTTAGACATCCAAAATGACAAAAACAAAAGTTTACTGCTCCCCCAAACCCACCAGCTCTCAAACATTTGGCTGCAATATGACATAGTAGATTTTCCAAACCTGCAAACATTGGTGTTTTCCTCTTACTCAAGGAAATGTAAATGTACTGCTTACTCTGAAAACTATGTGCAGTTTCACCTTAGTTTAGTTTTCTTCTATTTAGTTTTTGGTTATGATGTACAGTGTATTCACTGTTACTATAGACTATAAGACTTTAATAAAATAAAAAGTTTGGTCGGCCTCACAAGTCACTGTTTCATTTAGCCAATGTTCGTAATTGTTGCAATTGTTCATACCCTTTGTCAGTTTGATTGTGAAACTAAATGTTGCACCATTTTGGTTTCCTCAGAAGCCACATTATGATTTGTATTATCGCACCATCATAAATATATGTCACCACCACTCTCACTTAAAGCTAGATACACTGGCAAAGCACTTAAAAAAGTAAAAAAAACTAAAATAAAAATAAACACTAATTCAAAATATTGATTATATATATATATATATATGTATATATGTGTATATATATATATATATATATATATATAATACTAACACTAGCCCATCCACAGGCAATGTGAGTTTGAATAACTCATAAACTGCCTTCTCACTCCTGTGATTTCACAGAAAAATGTCTTTGCCAAGATCAGCCACGTGCAGTCATTTTCATCCTCTGATACCATTAGAAACAGATTTAAAGAGCTGCTGAGAGCATGACTTCAGAACTGCACTAAATGAAAAGACTGTACTTTGGAAGATTAAAGATATGCAATAATAGAATTACAAGATCATGTATCATTTTAGTCAGTGGTTTCCTAGTTCTCATGTCAAATGTTATCCAAGCATCTAAAATTATTTCTTCATGTTTCTCTTTGGTTTTCCTTGACCTGCTGTTAATCATTTTAGTTATACATGTTACTGCAGTAAATATGATATACAGTGCATATGATGGATGAAATGATGGCCATGAGGTTTTTGAGAATTTGTGGACTCCACCTTATGTCTGCCAGCCATTCACCTCTGTCCCAATCTGATGAATGGATTTATTGTATCACCCTTGTCAAAATCGTCATGCGTTTCCACTGTTAGGCATTTATGTCGGCTTCAAATACCATCCATAACAGTTCGAATTAGTCTGTGAATAAGGAGCTGATAATAAAATATGTAGAATGTGCATGAAAGATCTAGACTTGTGCCGGTATTCGGTAATGCGATATATCACGGTAATGAATATGCACGATATTGTTATCGTGGGCACTTCTAAATACCGTGAATAATTATATATGACAAATTATTCAGAATTTTGAATGCATTTTAAAATTGCTGTATGCTGCGTGAAAGACGCGTGCGCACTCTGATGTAAATAAGCGCAGACAAGAAGCACATGGTGGAACATGTGAGAGCCGCTCTGGATGAAAGCGCACTTTCACTCTCTGACAGCAGATGGCGCTAAACTGCAGAAATAATAATAATAATAATAATAATAAATTAATCGCAACATGAAAATTTGATACCGGCATATCCCTAGAAAGATCTTTTTAGTATAAAGCTGTAGTATTGTTTCAGTTGTACTTTTATCATGAATTTTGAGCAAGGCTTATTCCATGCCTCGTTGATGACAACTGTGGCCTGTGGTGTGACATGCTGTACTTCATCTAAAACTATTTTATTTATATTATTTATTGTTATTTTGTAAGTTGTTTTGTTAGTATTATAGTATTGTTATATTATTATTAAGTAGTAACAGTAATTTATTCTCCATTATATTTGTATATTTTTTGTATTTGTATTTATATATTTTTATGTAATGATATATAATTGTATTAAATAATAATAATAATAATGAGAATTATTAGTATTGATTATTAAGTAATTATTTTAACAGTAATTATTAGTTATTTATTAATTATTTATTATTAAAGAATTAACATATATTATATATTATATTTATTAATTATGAATTATTTGTACTGTTAACACTGAAAATTTCAGATTATGTGTCAGCTATAGCTAAGATCAAACTCA